CTGCTCTCCGCCGCGCCCTGGCCCGCGCGGGGGGCCGGGGCCGGGGCCGGGGCTGGGGCCGGGGCCGGGGCCGGGGCCGAGGCCGAGGCCGAGCCCGGGGCCGAGGCGGAGGCGGAGCGGCAGGCGCGGCCGGAGGGCAAGCGCTCGTACGCCATGGAGCACTTCCGCTGGGGGAAGCCCGTCGGGAGGAAGCGGCGGCCCGTCAAGGTGTTCCCGGCCGAGGCGGAGGAGGAGTCGGCGGAGGGCGCCGCGCGGGAGCTGCGCCGGGGGCTCTCCTGGGACGCGCCGCCCGGCGACGGGGAGCCGCCCGAGGAGGCGCCGCACGACGGCGCGGCCTACCGGATGCGCCACTTCCGCTGGAACGCGCCCGCCGCGCCCAAGAAGAAGCGCTACGGGGGCTTCCTGGCGGCCGAGCGCGGCCACGCGCCCCTGCTGACTCTGCTGCGGAGCGCCGTCGCGCCGGGCGCGTCCCCGCGGGGCCAGTGAGCGGCGGGGGCGCGCACGGCCGTCCGTTCGCCGCGCCCTCGCCCAGCCCTGCGTCTTGCTGCCGAAGGAGCTCCCCGCTGGGCGACGCCGTTACGTTTGCATCCTGGTTCGCGTGTACCCATCGCGGGCGGGCGGGCGGCCACCCGCGGGGGCCAAGAGTATTTTCATACTTTGAACCAGCTGTACAATACTGTAAATTAAAGGGATGAAAATGTGAAATGAGAGTACGGATGCTGACGCGCAATCATCACTTGCAAGCTGCGCGGGTCTCGGGCTGCGAGTGCTCATTCCGGGCCCCTCGCCTTTCTTCACGGAAGCGTCTTGCGCCCCGTGGGGCGGTTTGCAGGCAGGAGGCGCCTCGGCCGGGAAAGGAGGATTCATTGGGATCGGGATCCCGAGGCTGGAAAACGGCGCGTGTGTTGGGAGCACCCGCAGCAGAGACGGGCATGGCCCATGTTTTGCTAGGAGTCCCGTTCGTGCCCTTCTGGAAGGCACAGAGTGACCATAAATGGGTGTCTTGGGGCAAGTGCAAAGCGCATTTTCCTCTCAACGGGCAGGCACTGCCCCCTCCGTGCAGTTAGCAGCAACTGGTGCTGAGGCTTTCTCAGCCCAGGGCGACTGACTGAGGTTTCCAGACGGGACTGAGCGCCTCCCCGCGCCCGCTGCATGGCAGGTGTGCTGACTCCCTGCCTGATACTCGAAGGATGCAAGGGGTCGGGGTCGGGGTCGGGCTGGGGATGGGGATGGGAGCCACCTGGCCCGGGTGCCAGAGGGTTCCTGGGGCTGGCTCCTCACACACAGTCCCCATGCTCAGGCAGCATCGCGGGGGGGGGGGGGCAGGGGTGCCCCTGAGCCACGGCCTGCGGGAGGGATGCCGTCAGGGAAGATGGGTGAGCAGGCGGGCCCGCCGTCTCCCCCCGTGACCGGGACCACGCCAGGCTTGACGCTGTGTGTAAACGCTGGGCCTTCTTTCGGGACACACCTGCCCTGCGCTCCTTCGGGGGCCCAAAAGGGGGTCAAAGGGAAGGTGGCGGGGGGGGGGGAGGCGGTTCTCTCTTCCCTCCTTCACTGATGCTCCCCACCACCCCCAGGCCAGGACGGCGACTGCCCGAGTTCTGGGCCCAGAGACTGCCTGCTTCCCGCACCAGCAGGACCTTCCCTTTGGGGTCTCCACGGCAGGCCCAGCAAGACATTTTCAGTTCTCTTTTGTCATGAGTATCCCCTGCCCTTTTTCTCCTGCAAGGAGCCCCAGGTGGCCGTCATTGATCCATGCGAACGATTTAGGCGGGATGGACGGGGAACAATCATCACATTTGCAAACAAGACAGAACTGGGGGGAATAGCGAGAACCATAAAAGACAGAATGAAGGTCCAGGGGGAGCTTCCTTAACTTGAATGCTGGGCTCAAAGCAACAGAGTGAGATTCAGTGGGGACAAGTGCCAAGTCCTCCACCTGGAACAAAGAAACCAAATGCATCGATACACGATGGGGAACACGTGGCCCAAAAGAACTGCAAAAGTAAAAGATCTTGGAGAAATTGTGGACAAGAGGCTTAATATGAGTCAACAATTTGACTCAGGCTCCAAAAGGGCAAATGGTATTTTGAGAAGCATTAACAGAAGTATTCCAAATCATGAGAAGTAGTAGTTTTCCTATACTCCTCACTAGTCAGAGCCTTTCTGGAATACTGTGTCCAGTTCTGGGCACTGAGATTTAAGAAAGATGCAGAAAAATTAGAAAGACCCCCGAGGAGGGAAACAAAAGCGATCCAGGGCTTGGAAACACTGCCCTGTGAGGAGACACTGGGGGAACTGGGCATTTTCAGCCTTGAGAAGAGAAGGCTGAGGGGGGACATGAGATTCCTCTAGAAATACCCCCACGGCTGTCACAAAGAGGAAGGTCAAGATCTCTTCCTGCTGATGCCAGAGCGCAGGACATGGAATGATCAAGTTACGGCAACCCAGATTCAGGCTGGACATCAGGAGAAGCTTCCTCACTGTCAGAGCAACACGGCAGTGGGACCAGCTGCCTGGAGAGGTGGGGGGCTCCCCCACACTGGAGACATTCAGGGCGAAACCGGGCAGCCCTCCGAGTGCGATGGTGTGAACTGGTGTCCTGCATCAGTGGGGGACTGGATCTGACGGCCTTCGTGGCCCCTTCCAGCTCTCCGGTGATTCTGTGTTATCCTCACAACGGCACCCCTGTGAGGTAGGGTGGGCCATGACTAGCCCAGGGTCGCCCCAGGAGCTTCATGCCCAAGCGGGGACTGGAACCCGGGTCTCCTGAGCCCGCGTCCTGCACTCACACCTCTCTGCCCCTTCTACTGCGCGCCATCTCAAGTGATCTCATTTATAGCACGCTGAACATTTATTATTACATTTATATTCCACCTTTCCCCCAGAAATGAACCTGAGCCATCTTGCACAGTCCTCCTCTTCTCCATGCAATCCTCACAACCACCCCGTGGAGTAGGCTGGGCCGAGAGCCCGTGTCTGGCCCAGAGTCACCCAGTGGGCTTTGCAACTGAGTGGAGAGCAGAACCCGGGCTTCCTCTAACCACTACTCCACCCTGTCTTTGTTCCGGCGGCCAGGCCCTCCTGATGAGGGCCACAGTGGCCCTTCCTTGCTCACATTCAGAGGCTTCCGCAGCCAGCAGGAATTTAATGTGGGACACGCTGCCACGAGATGGCCCCACAACATTCAAGGGGGACCGGGAAAACCCACAGACCGCACAGGGGCCAAGGAACAGCCCCCTGGAAGCCAGAAGTGAGAGAAGGCTGCCACAGCTGCCCCCACGTTCTCCGCAGCCCTCTGCACCCAGGCGCACTGCCTCAGGTGCGAGGGGACATGTGGCCATGAGGACTAGAAGCCTGGCTGTGGCCCTGCCCTCCACGATGTGCCCAGTCCCCACGTGATGGCGGCACCGCGTCGCAGACATGCGTTCCGTGGCTGAGCGCTGCACTGTGTGAAGGGGGCTTCCGCTCGATCGGTCCCATGGGCTGCTTAGGAAGAGGAGAGCGTGTCTCTCTCCCCACTTCCTCTGTGCCAACATAATTTTGTACATGTCTGTCACGTCCCGCTTCCCTCACCTTTCACTCTAACTAGCAAAGCCCCAGATCGTCTCTCCAAAAGGATCTGCACATGGTGGGCATGTCATGAGCAGAGCCAGCTGGAGCCGGGGGTCAGACTAGATGGCCCCGGAGACCCCTTCTGGCTCTACAGAGAATCGGAACCCTTTCCCCCAGGCAAGGTGTGTTATGTATTCCTTTTTGTTCAGTCTGTATGCAAAACACGTGATAAGGCAGTGCGAGTGGCAATCCAGCAATGCACCCAATAAAATACACGGGCAGCAGGAAGCAGCAGTGGCTGCGAAAAACTCCAGGAAGGAAGGAAGGAAAAAAGGGAAGGAAGAAAATGCAAAAGCCGGACTGCAGCAGATCACCAAGAAGGCAAAAATCACGTCCACAGAAGAATTACACAACTTGGAAGTCAACAATTGAGAAAGCTTTTGCATACCTTGGCTTAATCATAATTTCAAATATGAGTGCTAAGTTCTTGCAGCCAAGAAATTCGACAACGGTGGAGGCTTGGAAGAGTGGCAGTGCAGGAACTGGAAAAGATAATCAAAAGTGTGGATCTTTCAGTGGTTCAGTGGCCAAGTTCATCCATACTGTGGTATTCCCAATTACTAGCTATAGGTGTGAAAGCTGAAAGGTGACAGAAGAAAACTGATGCATTCGAAACACGGTGCTAGAAGAGGGCTTTGGGAATACTCTGGACCAACAGAAAGCTGAGCTCGTGGGTATTAGAGCAACCCAAGCCAGAATTTGGACTAGACAGCAAAAGGAGAAAACTGAGGCTCATCCTGAGTGGGCAGGGCTCCCAGGAGAAGCCCTTCCTGCTAGGGAAGGTGCAAGCAGAAGCAGAAGAGGAAGGCCAGCGATTAGAGAGGGTGACTTCATAAAGGAGGCTGCAGTCTTGTGTTCCCAGGAGCCGCACGGGGCAGTGGGCCTTTTGGAAGACTTTCATTTGGGGCTTTACTAAAGCTCGAGTTGGCTTCAGGGCACAAAACAACATTTGCACTTTTAATTCAGCCACAGACTTTCGATGAAAGTTCTACGATTAACTCATCTTGCTTGTTGAGGAAGGCAATTGCTAATTAGAACAACATGTTTTCCTCCTCTCGTCACAGTGTCCTTGGGCAAGCACATCCTCCTCAAACAAAGGTACAAAATTGACCTCCGCCAGAGAAAGAGAAATTGAAGAGCCTCCGCTCACTGGCTCGCGCTTTTGTGCTCCTCGGGGCCCGAAGGACACGAGGCGAGGGCTGGTGGCCGAGGCGTGACCTGCGTGGGCTCCAGGCGCTGGTGGGCCGGCGATGGTTGGACGTCACTGGAGAGGTGGCGCCGCTGCCATGCTGGGCCCTCATATCGTGTGTGTTGGGTTGGAGCAAACTTTGGAAACGAGGTCTCCCAAATGAATTGTGCTCATGCTCAGACTTAAACATTCATAGCGAAAACCTGGAAAACGTCAAGGCTTTGTTACAAACAGCCTGGAGTGACCCACCCCACCAGACTGGACAGAACGCTCCCTTCCCCGAGCCGGGGCCTCAGCAGAGGTTCCCCCTAGGCCAGGCACCGCCACATGGGAGACCTTCTGGTCCCCGGGTCAGCAGGCGCCTGGACAAGAGGGGTCCCCCTCCACCACTCAGCGGGGCGGGAGCCAGTGCCAGCCCTGGGCAGGCAGGAGACAAGCGGCTCTGCAGAGGCTTCCCCAGCAAGCCAGGTGGGCCGGAGGAGACGGGCTGCCCTGGAGAAGCCCTGGCGCTGTCTCTCTCCTCCTGCCAGGGCAGGGTCTCCTGGAAGGCGGGGAGCTGGAGGCAGGGCCGGGAGAGGCTGCTCAGGGTCAGCAGAACTTGGCCGGGGGCATTGGGGTTTCCCGAGCAGGGGAGGCAGCCTGTGCCATATTTTTCCCTTTTACATCTGCAGCTTTGAACTCC